AAGAAAGCTGAGTGCTGAAGAATTGATGCTTTTGAACTGTGGTGTTGGAGAAGACTCTTGAGAGTCCCTTGGACTGCAAGGAGATTCAACCAGTCCATCCTAAAGTTAAACAATCCTGAATATTCATTGGAAGGACTGATGCTGAAGCTGAAACTCCAATACTTTGGCCACCTGATTCAACGAACTGACCCATTTGAAAAGACCCTGATGCTGGGAATGATTGAAGGTGGGAGGAGAATGGGACAACAGAGGATGAGATGGTTAGAATGCATCACCAACTTGATGGACATGAGTTTGAGTAAGCTCCGGGAGTTGGTGATGGACAGGGAGTACTGGTTTGTTTGCAGTCCATGAGGTCATAAAGAGTTGGACACGACTTAGCAACTGAACTGAACTGATGAAGCATGTACTTTGAAAGTGGCTTTACACTTATTCATGGCATTAGTGGCTCTGACTAATGTGTTACTAGCTGGTTATTAGATCCTAATGTTTACATCTCTGTGTAATACTTAAGTTTTACTGGACACAACACTCTTAATACTGGTGTTATTGAAATATTTTTTATTAAGCTCTTCAGTGACTAGCTTTGAGGTTGTGGCAATATTCTAGATCCTAAGTTATTAACTGAATATGTATTGGACTCTGGTTCTTTGCCTTATTAAAGAGAAAGATTATTAAAATTATGAAGGGTTTAGTTTATCAAAGGTCCTTTGCAAGATCATTAGTTAAAACAGAATTTGGAAACGTAGCTTATTTCAAATTAAACCAAAGTATATACTATTTATAAAACCAGCAGGGCTGTTAACTATATTTAATGGATTGGTTAAAACAACAGAATTTTTAAATCCATATATATGAAGTTTTGACAAGATAAAATAATTAATTGATCTGTTTCTTATGAATAAGTGTTTAATATTTTTAAGGAATAATAATTTTACATATATCTAATTTTAGTCATTCGGTTACTCATTTAACATTTTTGTAGTTCCAAAAGAACCCAAACTGATATAAATAAAGATTATTAGAAAAATACATAAAGTAAAACTATTAAAAATATTTTGTCACAGGTAGGATACAATTATTATCTGTAAATGGGTATAATCATGGGTGACAGGTATGATATAGGTAAAACTTTTAAGCAAGTTGAGAATAAAGAGAAAAACATGTTTTTGTGCTACCTTCATTCCAGAACCTGAATGGATTCTAATAGAATAAACTCTTTCTTGTTTTTTCCCACAAGAACATGAATTTTTCACTTGAGTACCATTAACAGATCATTTGTTGTTCTTGTTCAGTCTGTCGTGTCCTATTCTTTGTAATGTATCCTGTTCTTTGTAACTCCAATGGACTGTAGCCCACCATGCTCCTCTGTCCATGAGATTCTCCAGGCAAGAATACTGGAGTAGGTTACTATTTCCTTTCTCCAGGAGATCTTCCTGACCCAGGGATTGAACCCGGGTTTCCTGGATTGTAGGCAGACTTTTTACTATCTGAGCCACCAGGGAAGCCCTGTCAGTAAACTTTCAGGAAATGTCAGAGTTGCTCCATTTTCAGGCTGAGGAAGCAACACCTATAACCAGAGTCCAGGAGCACTCACTGGAGGTAAACTAAAACCCACAAAAATTATGTACTTATCCATGGTGACCCAGAAAATCGTTAGGCTCAAATCCTTGGGCTCCTGAGACAACCGTTCTTTTCACTCTCATTTATAATGTTATGTGCTTCCCTGTTATATGTCTTCTGAACGAACCTCTCAGTGTGTGCTTTGGCATAGCTAAATTTTTTGAGGCTTTTACCTGGACCATGAAACACACGTTCCACTTTGTGGTGCTACACAGATTCAGATGTAAAATGTGAATTGAGTCCTTATGACTACATACTGACTTCAGTCCTTTTGGACAACTTCAACTTAATATCACTGAAAATTCCTTTATGACTACATACTGACTTCAGTCCTTTTGGACAACTTCAACTTAATATCACTGAAAATTCCTTGCACAGATTATGAGGAAGATGTGACCCCCCAAACTCCTCTCAGCTCATTATATAACCTTTCATCTCCTCTAGAGCAAGTGAACTGGGTACTATTTTCATTTATGCTGCCTTATCTTTAATCATTTAAAGAAATATTTAACTGTATGAAAATGAAGGTTACAAGTGAAGGAGAAAATATTCAAGGGGTGTTTGCACTACTTTTTTTTTGGCTAACCGGCCCAAGGTGAGTTCACTACAAAGTTACCAACTCATGCTAATGAGATTGTCTGAAATCTGCCAGCCCACTCACTCTCGCTTCACGTCCTGTG